GATTTTTGTGACCTATCAAATTAAAGGTCTTGACGAGTAATGTTCAGCCCAGGGGTCTAAACGGGCTCATCAAGTGCAAATAAAAAATACATATGAAATAGAAGGTATCGACGAGTAAAGATCAGTCGGGGGTTGATAAAAAAACACATGGTTTTTGTTCATATTTTATTGCAAGACATGAAAAGCATATATTTTCGACACAAGTCTGAATACATATAATTTCAAGGTAAGTAATGATAATTGCACTCCATTATGTAGCCATATCATCAGCATTTATCCAAGAATTAAACTTCTTTGGCCAATGCAGCCATTTCACAAAATATTGCTTGTTTGGTCCTCTTCCACGGGTCTTGAGGATTTTTTCAATCTTAAACGTATCCTCGTCTCTAACATCCACTTTTTGGAGTTCCGGTTGATAGAATGTCCCCGTAATGGCTTCGTCATTGTAGTCCTTGAGTTTGTACACTGGAATGCCGTTCCTCAGGAAACGTCGAAACACGATGAAAATTTCACCAGACCACTTTTGATCGTATTCCCTGTCAAAAATGGATGATATTTTCGAAATGCGCACTTTATCACCCACTTTGTACTTGTAGGGCCGCTTTGATTGCTTGCGTGGTATCTCCTCTCGAGACAGGAATGTTGATACACGCACTTCTTCTTCGTTGTTTGGTCTAACCAGTTCTGGTTCGGTGTCAATGGTGCGGTGGTACGTCTTGTTGTAACTCCGAGCGAATTCCTGAAGACGATCAATGTATCGTTGGGATTGTTTGAATGTCATGTAACGATACATCTTAGTTTTAATCGTCTTGATGGCTCTCTCTGCATAGTTGGCTTTCACTTCGGTGTTTTGAGAATAAAAATGTTCGATGTTGTGATCCTTTAATACATTATTGAAGGCTTTTGATCGGAATTCTTGTCCTTTGTCCGTGCGAAGCTTCTTAGGTTGCCTCCCTTCACGCAATACGTCTTCGAACGCCCGGGCTGTCGTTGGCCCTTTCTTATCCTTTAAAGGTCGCATCCACAGGTACTTGGAGAAGATATCGATGACCAAGAGTACGAACTGCACACCCTCATTTTCTGTGCTGAATTTGGTCATGTCCATGAGATCAGCGTCCCATTGATCATCAAGGCCAGCGACGACGACCTGATTGCGACGATAATGTCGTCTCACGGGTCGCTGGAAACTGTAGGGTTCCTGTCTCTGTAACCATTTGCGTACCTTGTACTTGCTGATATCATATTTTCCCTCTTTTTGAACGTATCTGAATAATTTATCCACTCCGGTAAAACTACCAGCTGTGGATGGATCGTAATACACTTGCTTGAGATAATCCTCCCAAGACATGTTTCTTCTGGCATGGACAACGTTAAAATGAAGCTTAAGTGTACCCCAACCCCTTATATAATACCTAATCACGTGACTTATGATGACATAAATAACAATACTGCTTTTTTTTTTACTGTTTATTCAAGTAAATGCAATAATATACAATCGATAGTCCATTTTTCAAACAATAAATGGACATAGTCTCAAAATGTTATTTAGACTTCTTAGGATTCATCTTCTTCCATCTCGCTATCGTCATCCTCTCTCTCTCTTGGTCTTCGCTTTCGGAAGCATCGTCGATCTCCATATCACTCTCGGGATCCCACATTTTTTCAAGGACAGGACGATTCTTATTCAAAGCCATTCTGATGGCTCTGCGTTCGTCATAGCCTTCGGACAGGAAATCTTTAACATCATCCATGACTTTTTTGTGAATGGATCCGTTTTGTAACTGAAGGATGTACAGGATGAGTTGTCCATACTTTTCTGAGAATTTCTTCAGGTCTTTCGAGTTCATTTTTTCCTCCGTTTGAACTCGAGCGTCTTCTCGTGATAGACCTTCCTTTATGTATTTATCATATTTCAGGTCCCATAGTTTTTCGTTGTCTTCTTTGGCCCTTTCCATGAGAAAGTTAAAGACTTCGTGTTCGTCATCATTTTCCTTCTCTGGTTTGAAAGGGGAGGCATTTGCCTCATCCATCTCCATGGGGGCAATATCATCTTTCCTTTGTCCGTTTTTGGGACACCATCTTTTCACATGTCTTTGGAGGTCGTGGACGTTTTCAAAGACCAGACCACAATCGTCACAGGAAGGCATATCTTCTGTAGGTATGACGTGTTGAAAATCCGACCCGATGGATTGGTCCGTTGAAGGAACCGATGCGTGGTACGTCCGATCGGTTGGAATATCAATCAGAGAATGAGGGAAATTCTCTGCTCCCGGCTGTTTAATAGGATTCAAGACATCAATGGATTGGAAGGTTGAAGGAACCGGTCTATGGTACGTCCGCTCGGTAGGAATAGCTGTCGGAGAATGAGGAGAATTCTCTGCTTCGTGCTGTTTTATAGGATTCAAGACGTCAGTGCGCATGCGCAGATGTTCGGGTGTAGTGGGCTTCAGATCCACCAACAGGTATCCATAAGGCTTGGAAGTCGCGTCTTTAAAATGTCTCAGCAGGTGTTGAGGATTTTCGTGATACATCTGTCGAGCCAAGGTCATGATTTGCTGTCTGTCCACAGGATTGTTAAACAGAACCAGGTAGTGGCAATTTCGTCTTTGGGTGGGATCTTTGTTATAATACAGATTTTGATTGATAGCCATGACCGATAAATTTCGGTGATGACTTCCCTCTGTAAACAACTCGTTGATTCTAGAATCTTTAGCCGCCGTCGACATGAGATCGTCTAAAATGACGAGATTCCTCGTTCCGGGGTGAACGAAAGAATCTTGCTCCAGGTCTAATGGAATACCTTGTATGAATTCGACCGAGGGATACACGGTGGTTTTGATGATGTCATACAGGGGTTGCCATCGCTTATAGAGCCACAAGATTCTCTCTGGAGGAGGGGAAATCTTGCTCATGCAATGTTGCAACAACGTTTTCACGAAATACGTCTTGCCTGAGGAGGTGGGTCCCGACACATTAGCCGTAAAAGGATGTTGAAACATAAACTCCTGTTGTTGCTGCTGCTGCTGCTGCTGATGTTGCTGCTGCTGCTGCTGCTGTTGTTGCTGCTGCTGCTGCTGTTGTTGCTGCTGCTGCTGCTGCTGTTGTTGTTGCTGCTGCTGATGTTGTTGTTGTTGTTGCTGCTGCTGCTGCTGTTGTTGCTGCTGCTGTTGTTGTTGCTGCTGCTGTTGCTGTTGTTGTTGTTGACATTCCGTGTGTTTGTGTTTAACATGACGAATTAAGTCGTGAGGCCAGACGTAAGCCTTTGAGCAATGTTGGCAAGTATACATGTTGATCCTTTGGTGTCCTCTCGCTTAATGACATACATGAACGGTAAATCCCCTTTTATAGACGAGATCTCGTCGGTGATTGGCTCATTACACTTAACAACTAGATCAAAGTTTCCGGTATCTTTGGATTCCGGAATGAAAGTTCGCCGGCAACTCCTGAGCTCCGGAATTAGGAATCCGGAAACGTATGGATCCGGAAGCCCAAATATCCGCGGCGGGCCCCCCCGGGAGCTTTTGTCTTTGTCTTTTGTTTAATTCTTGTTGTCACAGGGTGTGACCGATCGATTGATTGCCAACTCCCTTTCGATAATTTTTCACTGTGGAGACGTCTGTGATATTAGGCACTGTGTCATTGGTAGATGTGCGTTGATGTGATATGTGCACTGCAGTTGATGTGGGTCCTGGTGCACATATAAGTGATGATTATAAGTACTGGAAGCATGATATGAGGCACTGTGTCATTGGTAGATGTGCGTTGATGTGATATGTGCACTGCAGTTGTTGTGGGTCCTGGTGCACATATAGGTGTTATGGGACCTAGTACCGTGGTAGTGCAGATGTATAAAACGGATCCCCCATTCGTTGTTTATCGCCCTGGTACACTTACTACACTTACTACACTTACTTGTACTGATGATGTCAAAAATTAAAGTTTTCAAAATGAATTATCAAAAATATATTTAAATAAAGTCATTGTTTACATTATGGCCCTGGTATACTAGTGTACTGCAGATGTAACAAATTGATTGATTGATTGATTGATTGTATATTGTTTAACGTCCCTCTTGAGAATTTTTCACTCATATGGAGACGTCACCGTATGCCGGTGAAGGGCTTCAAATTTAGACCTATACTCGGCACTCAGGGCCATTGAGCAGTAAGGGTTCTTTATCGTGCCAACACTAACCGTGACACAGGACCTACATTTTAAAGGTCATATCCGAAAGACCCGTGATTTTCACTTTTAGGGCCGAGCGCTTGGCGAAGAATTAGTCACTCCCTATGTTTAACGTCAAAGGTATGACGCAGCGCCGAGATCGAGAATCGAAACCCGGGCCTTCCGATCACGAAGCGAACGCTCTACCACTAGGCTACCGTGACCGGTTGACGAAGACTCTATAAAAAGCCATGATATGGTTCGCTATTTTCACTTTTTTTTCCTACCCAAAGATACTTCTCATTAAAAAAAAAACATAAAAAAAGTTTTCATCATTTGAATACAAAAAATTGTACATGTAATCTACATCAAAAATACATAACTGTGTGTTACCAATACATCGAGATAGAAGGATATAGTAGCATCCTTTGATACAAGAGATCATAACATACTCACATTACAGTTTCTGAGTACAAATTAAGTTGTCTGTGATACATCCAAATATACCTGTATATTACCAATACATCGAGAAAGAAAGACTCTCACCATAGCATTTTACAATACAATAAATCATAACATACTCACATTGCAGTTTCTGAGTACAAAGTAAGTTAATATAACTGTACATTACCAATACATCGAGATAAAAGGACTATCATAATAATTTGTTAAATACAAAAAAATCTTAACATCATAAATACAGTTTCTGAGTACAAAGTAAGCTCTCTATGACACATTCAAATATACCAGTATATTACCATTACATCGAAATAAAAGGACGATACAAGAAATCATAACATACACAAATTACAGTTTCTAAGTAGAAAGTAAAATCTCTATGATACATTCAAATATCCGTATGGTACCGATATCAATCCACTTTGCAAGACTCTTTTGTCAAAAACAAGTTTGTAGTCTTTATTTTCCTTTCTGGTGATGATTTCTGTGGTTTTGGAATCTCGGGCAATTTTGTAATCGTTCCGGACCGTGACGACAGACGCTTCGCTGGAAGTGATCATATTTCTGATGGTATCAAAGTTGATATCCAAACTGTTCTTGTAATTCAGTGTGATACCTTTAACTTTGCAACAGGTACTTATCTTCCCATCTTGGTCTTGGGCGGTATACGCATAATTTTTCGGTCCGCCGGTGACAAAGGAAAGGATTTTCTTACCGGGGGTCTCGTCTGTCATATCCCCCAAGTAATCACCCAGAGGCGGCGACCATTCCCCAGCCCGTGCGGTGAAGATGACCGAATCCGTGTCAGCATATAGAGTCCGATCGCCTAATTTTTCCAGATAGGAGTATAATTTTAGACGGGCCTGGGCCGTAGTGTACGCTGCGATGACCACGTTGGTTCGACCACTGGTCTCCACAAAATCGTCGTCTAAGACCCACTGGAGTCGTACCATCTCTTCGGACACATAGCTGACGTCTTTGACCTGTTGGTAATTGCTAGTCAACATATCGAAATATTCGCAGGGATCTGTCACGTACGTTGTTTTGGGCATGTTTTCTCGCTGACCAAATTTACCCCAAAAACTATTGAGCATAAGTTTTGCCAGCGCTCTGAGACCTGGGTTCGATACGATATTATGATATTCGAGACGAATTCCTTCTCTTTGGTGATATTCCTCTATGTACTTGTGTCTGTCTTCTTCCGTTTGACACCATTTTGGCCAACCGGATGCCTCTTGCTTCATTTTGAGAAATGTATTGACGTAGTCGGTGAATGCTCCGCCCGATTTTGCTTGTGGATCGTACTGTGATATACGATCGAAATGCCACACTTCGAAAATCTTGTCTATTACGTAACCCATTTCTACGGCTTTTTTGACCTCGTCGGTGACCCAGGTTCCAGTAATCGTTCTTTCCCGATCGGTGTGCTCACAGGTCTGTATGTGTTTCTCCGTGCACGTTCGACAGAGGCCAAACAGGAGCTTATTGTTGATTTTCGATGGAAGAACTGGCATGTATAGATCTTTTGGGGGAAGGATGCGGCATTTGACGAGGCCTTCGTAGTTTTGAAGAAGATCAAAATTTTCAGTCACGATCTGAGGGCGTCCCAATGGAATCTTGCCCGTTTTATTGATGAAGGGATAAAGAGAAGTCACATCAAAATATTTGATATCGGTGTCTTCATCTGCCTGGGCATGCAGTTTAAAAGCTTCGGTTCTACCGCCGAAAAAGGCATCTCTAGGTTGTAAGGGCGAGGTTAACTCTAGGTGCTCTATAAAAGACTTCATTTCGTCTGTGGACTCTACGGCCCGATCAAAATCAGACTCCCACATCTGCAGATAAGTATATCCCAAAGATTCCAAGTACCTTCTCTTTTCCAAGGTTCTCTGATAGAGGTCTCCCATGGTCATTCCCACGACTTTATTGAGGGTGTTGGCAGAATAGCATTTGGGGTTACCGTGCCAATAATCACCATGGAATTCCATCACTATTTTCTGACTCCCTATTTCATAGTATCCATCGACTCTGTACGGACCAATTGTTTTTTCCCCTACGTTGTCTGCATGTTGAATCTCTACGTTTGTTTGATGAGCATGGTATTTTATCCACTGCATGGCCTTGACGGACTGTCTGTCTTTCGGTCTATACCCTTGGGGTGGTATAATGCCGATAGACTCTCTTTCCAAAAACAGACTGCGAAATACCAGATTACAAGCCGAGGCAATGGTGATGCAGCGTTCGAAAGGGTCAACTCCGTCCCGATCATCTCGTGACGTCATGTCCATGAAGATGTCGCGGAATTTGAGACACCCTCGCCTGAGGATATCGACGTCAGACCGACAATATTTGATTATTTCTTTCTGAAAATCAAAACTATCGTGTTGATGTTCTTCGTACCATCGGAGAAACTTGGTGCGATCATCGGGCATCATACCATCTGGATTATAGAACTGTACGTCTGGAAGTTGATTCATGATAACCCTCTGATTTTCTTTTCGATTGTATAGGTGTGGAAAATAGCCCTTGGCGACTTCAGGTATGTAAAACGCCTTTGGCATCTTTGAGAGAGCCATGGGTATGAAATTCATGGAATCCAGGAATTTAATTTTGAGACGAGGTATCTCGATGCTCATGAATTTGGATCCGTTCATGATGACCTCCGGCAAGATAGCGTTCTCGTACAAGTAACTGACGATGGGATAGCTATCGTACCCTCGAAAGTTATGACAGAACACTTTGGCTCCTTCGTTTTCCTCCGAGAACAACCATTTACAGAAATCGTCACGAGTGTTTGGACCGTTGAATAATCGTTGCTTGTATTGGCATAATGAACAGTAGCTATTCTCGTTGATCTCGTCTTCGTCAATGCATTCTTCGCACACCTTATGAACGACACATAAATTTGGCACGTGTCGAAATGAACCACACGATGATTGGTTGCAATTTTTGCAGGAAGTGATTTTCCTCGGAATAAAGCCCTGTTCGCACGGATTCGAGTGACAGTTTTTGCGATGACAATTTCCACACTTGATGGATATTTGGGGGAAAAAACCCTCATCACACTGGATCATGTCTTCCTGTGTGCATTCAAAATCAAAAAATATCCACTGTTTGAGTTGGTCGTCGTCTCCATCTACTGTTATTTTCCGTTTTCTTTTCAACAGCTTCGTTTCTTCTTCCTCTGCCGTGGTTTTCATGTAACACACGTGATCTTGGGACATAAACAACTTGCAAATGTCGCAGTATTTGTTTCCACACACGTGCGGTTGTTTTGATTTGTTTCTGTTCACTGTGGTGGAGCACTGACTGCAACGATAGTAAGTCTGACAGGTTGAATTGCCTTGAGAGGACATTTCAGCGTGAAGTTGGAAACAGGTCGTATTCTTGAAATGACGATTGCACGTGAAGCAATACTGCCAGTCTTCTGATTGGTCGTCATGGCATCTGTGGCATAGATGGCATGGTTCATTGCAGATATGCTTTTCTTTGGTGTTAAATCCTTTCTGGCATTTCTGGCAAAAATAACTCCTGTTTAAGAACCCCGACATCGTAGTAATCACATCATAATGATTCTTGTGATGATACAAGTAGATCTTCTTCTCTGCCTCTGGGCCTTGGTACACGATGGCGTTGAAGCAATCTTTAGAGACAACGTGGATCTGGTATCCAGGCAACGCCAACTGAAAGGCCTTCACGTCATCCAAATCGCACTGCCGTAAAGGCACATTGGCAATTTTGTGCAAGTCTTCGGCTAGGGTTCTCTGTATACTTCTACCTGATGCATAGGAGAAGACATTTCAGGATGCACATTTCATTTTATAAACAAGTGGTAAATAGTAAGACATGTCAGGAAAACATAACATATGGGATACAATATATATCTTTTCTCTTCGAATAAAGAGCACTTATTACATAAGGTCAAACCTGTTCGAATCGAATTCCATTTTGGATGGTTGTCAATTCTAGCTTTGGCCGTCACAATGGCTCTTGCACAACATAAATGGTCTCTATTGATAATCTTGATGAAGCTTCTCTTTTCTTTCAGCGACTTCTCAAGATCAACGTAGCTTTTCTTTTCATGTCCTTTTCCAGAGGGCAGTTTGACATGGATCACTTCAATCTCTAATGACTGATTTAAGACAAATTCCTCATAAGATTGCAGCACGCGTTCTATTTCGGTGAGAAGACGATCCGCCGATAGCTGTGAAACCCGCATGAAGGGTAGACTTATGGGGTAATCCAGCTCTGGACACTGCACAGTTAAACGAATTAAGTCTCTGGTGTCCATGAATCCTGTTTTTTTTTTTTTAAAAAAAACATCTCTAGAAATTTTACCTGATGCATTAAGATAAATGTGAGAAGATGGAATATAAGTCATTTATAATAAATCTTGGATGAGAAGGTATGTTTTATTGTCCAACCTTGTTCAATGGTGTTTAAGGATAGTTTGTTGCATAAATTTATTTTAATAAAGCAACATCCATGGGCAGTGAAGATATTTATACCTGTCAAATCTTTAATCATCGAGGAAAAGAGGCGACGCAGACTTTGTAGAATATTAGGTAGATTTCTGATTTCCAGGTCTTGAAACTGAACTCGATATCTGTTTGCCGTGGTGTTAAATTTCCGCATTTTTTGTTCACCAAGAGGAGTAACTCTGTAGTTTTCTGTAGGGTCATCCATCTTGGTAATTCGTCTTTTCATCGAAGGTCCGGATTGAGGAGATTCGTTTGTTCTCTTTTTCCCTCTTCCAGATTGACCATGACGGTGATAGCGATGTAATTCTAAATTATTCTCCGTTGTAAAGGCCTGAGGACAATCTGAACATTGATACAGATCGTGCTTTTTTCTGTGCTGTGCAAGATTATCTTCCCTTGCAAACCTTTTCCCGCAAACGTCACATCTGTAACCTTCCATATTCTACAATAAACAAAGATGTTCTTTGTAAACTGCAGTAATAGTGCGCACTCTTTGTTTCAAAGTCCATAAAGTACAATACTATAATGACAGATTCGTCTTTTATTTGAAAATATTTTCTATTTCACATTTCAAAGTATATTGTTTGTAAATATTTTTTTTCTCTAAGACAAGGTTGCTGAATTTTAGGATATGTATAATTGCATTTATAAGGAGTACATCAAATTCTGTGACAGGTTGAATATTTTTAAAAGGTCACGTGGGAATCAGATTTGTAGTAAATTCCTTGCTTACTCTACCGAGTTTTTGTAAACACTATCAGGTCATGAATGGATACTACATAAAAAATAAATAAAGAAGTTTATATCTTTCAAATTTAATCAAATCAAGTGTATAATGAAGAATTGCTATCTGGTCCAATTTTATATTTGTCGAACGTATGTGTATAAATTTCTTACCTTAGAAAGAAATTAAGTTCCAAAGAATAAAATAACAACCGATTTAATTTCCCGATGTTACTCGTTAGGGTGCTGTAAGATTTATGACGCACCAGTATCCAGATTCCGTTTTATATATTATTTTAAAGTCGTCATGGAAACAAACAAAAAAACAAGTGAACAAGTGAAACGATTGGTTATATTATGATCATTAAAAATATCAATTAATTTTAATTCCTCCTGCAGTGGACCCCTCTATTGTGACATGTCATACATACCGAAAATCATATTTTGTTTCCATAGAAACATATCAATTTAGCTCATTCTATTGGCTAACCTGGTAATTGCACACATAAAACCACCCATTCAATTCATTTTTAACCTTTCGTGCACCCTCTTTGATTGTCTCCATCAACAGTTCTTTCTTTATCATCGTTTGTCTTTTCTTTTATAAAAATCAGCCATCTGTATCTCTATGGAGAGATTACCTATTGTATTCTCCCCCCTGTAAAAATCTAGGTCGCACCGAACTTACGACCGTCTCACTTGAGCGATTGGCTATTGAATACCCCCTTTAAAAAAACTAGGACGCATTGTACTTTAAGATGGATGAAAGATCAAAATGGACTGTTCGTGTTGAGACATGTATATCTAAAGATAAATGATTGATGCACCATTCAGGCGTAAAGGAAAAGCTTTGGGTACATTTAATTAATCACATTCGCTTTATATTTGGTGTAATTATAAGGATGGGGCTTTAATAATATTACAAAATTTCACAACTGTATTCCACTTTCCTTTCTTACCAACGTACTTTACGCATGGTTGTTCCAGTATTGTTACAATGGTGGAGATAATGTACTTTCAATTTACGGTTTGTGAATACACCATACATTTAAATGCTTAGCTTCATTGAGACGTTTCTACATGTTAGTTTTGGTCACGGTGTGTATATATATATATACGTGTTCTTACCTGTCGTCTTTTTTTTTTTATTTGAATGAATCTCCTTCTCTTTAAATAAACATGTGGTGTGTATACTTCTTTTCACTGATTAAATGTAGGGATTTAAAGTTCATTGAGACTTTCTACCTGATTACCTCCGTTGCGAGACATGTTTCTACCTCGCAGTATTTCGATCGAATGAATCTCTATTCAAATGCATTTTCAATAGAATCTTTAGTCACCTTTTTGTACGAAGACGAATGTAATAATCCTGTTTACGTCATGGAAAACTCCTATAAGATGCTACACGAATTCCCTTTATGTATTGTGCACAGTTCTATTTACAATTGTTACTTTATCAATAAGGTGATATTTGATCATTGGTGAAACAAAGAGTTGAGAAGGGAGGGGGGGGGGGGTTACACACCGGGCTTAACTTTACACTTGGAGACCTTCTATTTGATATCAACTTTTTGGATACCTTTTGGGTAACTCAATGACCCTGGAACATCCCCGGGCTGACTTTCATTCGTCGAGACCTTCCATTTGATAGGTCACACGAAACCTTTTAAGTAACTTTTTGATTTTGCACTTAATGACTCCGGACCACCCCTGGGATGACCTCTCCTCGTCCAGACCTTTCATTTGATAGGTCGCACCCTACCCTTTGGGACACTTTTTTAAATTTTGCCCTTGACCCCAGGGATAAACATAGGTGATTTCAAAATCTGGTTTTCCCGCCCGTAAGGTCACGTGACCAAAATTCAAAATGCTGCCTTCTGATTGGTCGAAAGTTTGATGACGTCATTGGCGCGAAATTTGAATCGTGATCTATATGAGCCCACTCCACTACTATTTTCCTTCAATTATATGACGTGTGTCTACATTTGTACTGAATTGAAAAACGAACGATTGAATTGAATTTTTATGCCCTGTAATTTAGTAATTTCTCTGTCAGTCCCTCTGTCTGTCTAACTGCCTAGCAGTCTGTTTGTCGGCCAAAAAAACTTTAACCTTAGTAGACTTTTTTAGTAGTTGTGCTATGGTTTACATATTTCACGTGTTTTCTTTGTAAGAGGGTATTTCTTTTGGTACCAACATATTTTTTCCTTATAACCTTTGAGAATTACCCACTCTTGCAAAAAAATCTGAACTTTGATCTTGACCATAACTTTTGAACACTTGGTGCAAGGAATTTCATAATTAACATATACATTTCCATGGATACAGGCAATTTCCATGGATATAAATATTTTTGACGATATGACTTGGAACTTAGAGTTTGAACAGTTAGTAGTAGGACTTTCATATTTCCCAGGTACATGTACGAGGGTTGCCTTGTAAAATTGTGGACAAGTTGTCTAGTTTGAAAAATAATCATCATCGCCTTCTGAAATTTTCACTACTCTTTAGTACATATATTATGAATATACACAATAATTTGCAAATAGATATATGCATAAATAAACAATTTGTGAGCATTTATGTTATGTATTGTTTTACCTTACGGCGCACGGATGATAACGCCAAAGTGTCTAAAACAGCGTCACGTTTCGTCTTTGCTAAAAATAAAGTTCGACAAGTACCACTTAAATTTAGAAATTCCATTGATTCACATATTTGGGTCTCCATAAGCAGATGAGGAACAAATCTGGCACACACATGCAATCTTATGGAGATTTATTTGCAAGTTATGGATAGTTTTTTCACCATCATTCAACTAAAATAGAGAATCTTATAGCGACGGTCGACAGTAACAGAGTCTATTGCTATTACAATAGCAGTTTGCCCGTATGATTTGCACTACCTTGGGACTCGATTATAAAGACTTCGCTAAGAAAATTTTATTTGTATACTAAAGATCTGATGATATTTTCATATTTTTTTCTTCTGTACTCATTTAATGTCTCTTAAGGTGTCATTAAAACATCCTAATCAAACTGAACTGCTCTCTAGTGCCCCGTAACGTCATCAAACGTCGCCTTTTTCGTGTATTATGTTTACCACTTTACCATTTCTAATGCTCGGGAAACTGCCAAAAATTTACCAAATGCCTTGAAATTTTTAAAAAGACGACAAAATTGATCGAGGAATCGAATTAGAATAATTTTCATCAAGATCTTATGTGTTTAAAACTTTAATTACGTTATTTTATTATTTTATCAGTACTTGTGTATTCTATAATATAACCATGATTTTTTTGACCATGCGCCGTAGGACCTACCCTGTGCACATCCAAGCATTATAAATCTTTATTTTTGTCTATATATTCTCAAAAAAAAATATGATGCACTTAAATATGATGAATAAAGATTAACTGAAAATTTCAGCTTCATGCGCCAATTACTTTTTGAGAAAAACGCTTTGTTCACGATTTTACCGGCTAACCCTCGTTAATTCCTATTGACAAGGTCTTTCATCAGACAACAACAAAGTGGACTCTTCACTTTCACTTGGGAGTTTGATCTACATTTGGAAAAATTATATCTTAGTTTAACTGTTAAATAATTAAAGTTTCATGTTAGTACAATGTATCTCTTATGATAGGACCTTCCCTTGGGAATATACACTTTCATTTATCATCATCAAAACTTCCTCATTGATTGATTGAATGATTGATTGTGTATTGTTTAATGTTACTCTAATCTTCACTCAAATGTAGACTTCGTCGTATGCCGGTGAAGGGCTTCAAGTTTAGACCTATACTCGGCACTCAAGGCCATTGAGCGGTGATGGTTCTTTATCGTGCCAACGCCTACCGTGACGGGGGACCTTCATTTTTATGGTCACTATCCGAGAGACGGTGGACTTTCACTTCTAGTGCCGATCACTTGGAGATGAAACAATTCATTCCTATGTTTACGTCTAAGGTATTACGGCGCCGAGAACGAGAATCGAACCCGGGCATCAGATCACAAAAACCTCCTTAAAAAAGACAAATAATATTATAAATCTAAAAGTAATCGTCATTACCTTCAATGAACAGAGTCCTGCTACACCCGCCCCTATCACAGCCACCCTGCGCTTTGTTTTCTCATCGGACATTTCGTCCCTGAAAGTAACCCAGAATTTTAAACACCCAACCTCTATATACGACAAAAAGCTAGCACTATCTATAAATATGCTTACGTGACATGTCCTGTGTAATCTTGATTTACACACCAACTACCCATATGAAACTTAAAACCATTCCTTCTATAAAAAAACCTAATTCATATTTTAAAGTCTAAAATAGTTTATTTCTTTAAATCGCTGTAGATCTATAAGTCAAAAGATTTCCTTTGAGTATATCATATTTGGCACTTCAAAATGAAATTTATTTTAAAAAATATTTTGAATTCACTGAAATGGAAGAGTTTAAATAAAATGACATAATTTCTATCAAGGATTGCTACTTCAGTTGTGCAGGTTGAATAAACACGTATTATTTTACCGTTTTTTTTTTACATGAACCTGCATCAAAAGCTTTAACATAGTTTAAATCCACGATAATAAAACACGGATGGTACAAATAAACTAGGACGCCATAATTCAGAATACGCATAAAAGTTAAAATCAAATAGGTCACATTATGTTTGTCTTTATTTGAATTTATCATTTAAGGTCATAAGATACCCTCATATCTCTCTATTTCTTTCTTTAGCTTCATTCAAAATTGTGATAGTGATACAATGTTGATAATTTTTAGAAAAGAAGTCATATTCTTGGGGAATTACATTTCTCATGTTTTTCTCATAAAGATTTATGATCGACGTAAAAGAATCAAATTGGGTAGAAAAAATATTGAGCTAATTTCAGTAATTTCATTTCATTTATTTTTTCAATAATATGACTGCACAAATGCTTTACTCTTCCATTGTATCTGATCCCACCTCTTATGTTTTGGAGGTCCGTGTTCCAGTTTGCTCTGTTCCTATCTTGCATTGTTCTACTATAAACTTTTGATCTTGTCTGCTCGTTACTTCCATGTTTCAAAGAGGTGAAAACAAAGAACAAATTGAATGAAAAAAAATATTATAAATTTATTTTGAATAATAATATCAAATCTGCGAAGAGGGCATAAGAACATACTTATGGAAATACAATGGTGAGATTATCGATGATAACGGGAAATAAATACATAAATAAGGAAGGTTTATGATGAAAATGTCATTCTGTAGTGAAATGAGTGGAAAAATGAACAGTCTATGTACTTACAAATTCATTGTTAATGTAAAGAAAATTGTACCCAATTCATACGACATGATTTGCATACCTCAGTATATGTTAAGTTACTCATATGTGCAATTTTTGTCGTATGAACTGATTTGTTTACATGCAATTTCTGCACAATTGAGTAAAACAACTGGTCTGGACATGTAGCAAATTAACGTTTTCATACAAGTTGTCTCAAATTATTAGTTCATATGTGTAAAGTTTTAACGATCTGAACACGCAGCAAATTTACTTATGTATGCATTTTGTTTTGTTTATTGCATAAATCTCTATTTTAAGTGTTGTTTTGGTTGTGTATACATTGTTGTATGTAAAATATTACTCTGTAAACATGGCAGCCAGAAAGCAAAACTCATTTTCAAAAGTGGATTTTTGGTGATCATCTTTGCGTTAGAGTACTTCAACGATAGCTGAAAGTAAATTGAATTTTGATAAGGGTAGATCTGTTGACATATGGGTTTAAAAGCCAAGTCTTTAAAGGATATGCTGGGATGTAAGTAGCATAGTACTTACATGAGTGGTTTGTTCAACTCTTAAAACAAGGATCCAATACCTAAAGTCTCCCCTGAGATTAATTTGAATTTGTACCCTTTGCACACATTTTGTACTCTTTCTGGCAAACATATGTTTTAAGCCTTAAAGATATAGACGTGGTCACAAATATGTGCCCTGCAGGATCAAAAAGTAGTCCCCTTACTAATCAAGTAGTCCTCATAGGAATGCTCCGGAGCTGTGATAGGAATGGGCATTACATCAATCGTCCTGGCCCTATTACAGATTAGCTCTTGATGACTTTCTTCTATCTTTCTTTGTTTTAAACCAAAGAAAGCTACTGACATATAAATTTATGTTACATGAATATCACCAATCCTGCTGAAAGTAAGCATTCTATCCTCCTTTGCACCTGATCCCATCATGAATTTCTAGGCGTTTTGTGTTTATTAAAATTCCTTATTAATATATTTGTTTTGTTTAAAGATTTTTAGATCGATCACCCATTTCATTCTATTGGAAAATACGTATAATATTCAAGCTGATACTTCATAATGACCTCGCATATTTGATGTACTGTTGATTTTCCAACTTCATAAAGATTTCTAGTCGCCCTTTATTCTGCTGAAGACGCCAACCAGTGGAGGCCAGATGAAATTAATCTTTAGATTCTCAACCCAATTTGCTAAAAAATTGGGGCGAGTGGGCGGATTTTATTTCGTATTTTTTCATATTTGTTTAATTAAGTATCAACAAAACATGGACTCCTCGTTCACAGTTTTTTGTTAATGCAAATATGAATAGATTTTATTTTTGTCATATTCTTTTAAATATTTAAAGAAGATTCTTGCTTTCAAAACTTAAATACTCTTGGTTAATTAACAAATCATCAAGTACACATATACGGCACACGCCGAACAAAATGTGGGGATGCCAATAAATTGTGTATGCATGACTTCTTATGACAGCCTTTCACCAAATACCTTTTACATGTAGTTTAACCAACAAATCCCTCTGTTTTGTGTAAAATATATAATAGAAATTGATCATTCTAGACATTTTCGATATTAAATAGGTCATATTTGCAAAATCTATAAAATATTTTAGTAAAATATTCTACTGAAATACCTAGGCCTAAACAGTTTTAAGATTTAACATTGTCCTAGTACTTAACATTCTCTAAAGTCTTCCAACGATGTTTTATCTTTTTAAAGCAAAATCACACACATATACTCAGGGACTTTAAAAACGCCTACTGAAATTGATTTTATTGTCATATGTATATAATGTTATATGTTGTAGGAAATTTATTAAAAATCATAATTTGTTCATTTAATCTCTTCATTTCCAATACAATCAACGAGTTTGCTAACCGCGTTTTTTCAAGGCAAGCAGTTTAAATTACACTGTCAACATTTTTTCCCGTTTTGATCAGTAACGTGTATGACCACCATTTGCAACTTCACAAGCTCTCAAGCGGGACCTCATGGATTGGTATAGAGCTCGAATTCGTCTCATAGGAATGTTATTCCACTCTTCCTGTAGAGCCTGTGCCAATTCTGGCACGCTTGTGGGTTGGCGTTGACGTCTTTTTAACCGTCTTCCCAGCTCGTCCCACACGTGTTCAATGGGATTAAGGTCGGGAGATCTAGCTGGGAATTCCAAGATGTTAACTCCATTAGCGTTTAGAAAGTCCATAGTAATGCGGGCTGTGTGTGAACGCGCGTTGTCCTGCTGAAACGTCAATGGATTATTGACAGTCTGATGACGTCGGATCAGGGGAAGAAGTTCCGGGCGTAGTACCTGATCAATATAGCGCCTGGCTGTTAGAGTGTCCCTCAAAATTATCAAAGATGACTTGAAATTTTGATTGATTGCTCCCCACACCATAACGCCTCGTCCGCCGAATCTGTCATGCTGAATGACACAGTTTGCAGCGAAACGTTCATGACTACGCCGGTAAATCCGTTGTCTGCCATCAGCATGGGATAAGTTGAATTTCGATTCATCGCTAAACACTACATTACGCCAGTTTTGACGATTGGCAAGCATATTCCGTGCCCATATGACGCGCAATCGTCGATGACGTTGAGTAAGGACATTACCTTTCAATGGACGTCGACACAATATTCCATGTTCTTTCAATCGTCGTCTCACGGTTCTGGGATGGATATGTCTCCCATGACGCCCTATAACATTTTTCGACGTTGAAACAGACGTCAAAAACCTGTCGCGCAGATGACTTTGCCTAATGAAGACATCTTGACGCCTCGTTGTTACGCGTGGCTGCCCACTTCGCGGACGGTCCTTGACACTTTCTGTGGCCCGATATTTTCTCAGCAATCTTGTTATTGTAGATTGGTGCACATTGAAGCGTCGTGCGATATCGCGTTGGTTTAACCCAGCGTCAACAAGACCAAGAATTGCATACCTCTGTTGCTCAGACAGCCTAGGCATTTCAGTCAACGGTTGGAATGACGTCAACTCTTAATATTCTGACTGAAATAGTGTAAGTTGCACGTATACGTGACGAGAGATAAAAAAATTCCTTCGTTAACCACGTGGGTGACTTTAAGTAAAGTGAGCACGGGTGAGACGGGCTGAGTTACGGATGAGTGATTTCGTTTTTCGATGATATGGATACATGCCAAAATGTTTAAAACACAATACATAGGCAAAATATTAGATAATCAAAATTGTGAGTTTGTTTTATTATACATTTTCATATAGGCGTTTTTAAAGTCCTTGAGTATATCTAGAGATCGTTAAAACTTTACCAGGTGTCATTTTCCTCGTCCATTTTGACCCGGTGTTTAATTAAAATCTCTCTTAAAAACTTCCTCAAACCAGTGATGGTATCTAGATGTGTTTATGCTATTTTTTTCTTCTCTGTATTCTCTGTACTGACAAATTATCATTTCTTAACATATTTAAATTCCCTTTATTGTCGATTTTCTCCATTCTTCACATGGCTCTTTTGCTATAAATAGCGACAAACAATACAGACGAGGGATAACTCTTAAACTTTGACCCGAATTCTTGCTGAATAAAAATACATAAAAATACTTTTATTAACACCTAAAAATTAAAATAAAAAAGTACCGGGGCGGGACACTTAGATAGGGGCGGTCGGGGATGAGAATCTAAAGATTAATTTTATTTGTTTTTAACAGTCACTTCTTTCTTTACACCCAACGACTTTTCTGCAGTATTGGACCTCCGCCGAAATATGGCTGAAATACTGCCGCCTCGGCGTTAAACAATATAAATCAATCAATCTTATTGGACCGTTACCAAAGTATTTTTCGACTTTAAACATTGATTTAAATTAATTTTCCTCCTTCATCTTTAATCATACAACTTTCTATTTCCTTTAACAGAGTTATTTTCGCCCCGTGTTATTTTCGCCCTTTTGAACTTGTGAACAATATTGCCCCGTTTAAAATTCGCCCATTCAAGGAGAGGGCGATACGGGCGAAAATAAAACGGGGCGAAAATTTCCCTGTATACAGTCTTAAGATCTTTTTTATCGTACCAATAAATCAGCGGATGGGATTTCTTGAAATCCTTTAAGGAACATTTAAAAGTAAGTCTAATTTCCAAGTAGTAAGAAAAAAACCCTTTTCTATAAAAATCCTCGATTCTGAATCTATGGGTCTCATTATTTATATGAAAATATAAGAATTTACTAACAGTATATAAATCTCGTCCGAACGCATAGCAAATTACTTTTTACTCAAAGCCCTGTCACACCAAACTGCGTTCACACGAGTCATTACGGCGTTGTCAAATTTGTTAAATTGCCGTGAAATCGCAGGAAAATTCACAAATTCCTGTAACATTTTCACAATGTGCAGATGTCATGGCGTCCCTACGGCGAGGGACGCGATTCTACTGCGATCTCACGGCGTTCTACTGCGTTCTCACTGAAATCTCTCGGCGATTGACTGCGCTTCCGCGGAGTTTTCTCCTCGTTTTCACGGCGTTCTCACTTCGCTGGCTGCGTTCACAATACGTTCACAATGCGTTCTATACTCATTGATACTCATATATATGTGATTATATATAATCACACGGCGCAATAATATCTACCTGTACATAAAATTTAAAATGACCTGCTCTACTTGCTTTTCATGTATAAAGATAAACAAAATAAGCAAGTTAAATGATAATTATTTTATTTACATTGTAAACAAGTATTTCAGTTTGTTGGCTATCGATTCAACCTGTGTACATAGAGAAAGCTAGCGTTTGCTTACATTTTTTTTCCACTTTTGTCAGCTGCAGAATCTCTAACGATCATCCTTATTTTTTGGGTAGACCTTTCGTTTAAATTTTCATGATAAACTATTATTTCATATTTAAATTCTACTCACGATAAATCATGTCATGAACAGCTGCCAAACACCTCAGCGTTTTCGTAGTTCAGTGTAAAGCTGTCGCCAGTGTCTCCGTGTTTATCAGTGTTTTACGATAAGTATGCCTTTAGTTACTGAAATCGAGGAATGTTTTCTGCATCGATTATCAATTTTCACGAATAAAAATATTCCCAGACAACAATCTGTTCACTATTAATGATCACAAGTAGCCCTTTCACAAAATATTCCCTTCGAAAGATTTCTTAGCCTAATGTATTCGAAGCGTAACCGCCATGCAAGCCGATTTACACATTGTGTCATTTTTCAAAATCTACGACGGACGGTTAGTGCAATAATTAAATTCAAAAATTAAATTCAAATCCAGGATTTGATCACGTGACCGACCCACTTCAATTCCTATTGAAGTTTATAAACTTGTTATTCATTTCTTAAATATTCAGAATGAATGTAAAACATTTGTTTTAAGGATTCAAGTTACACGATGAAAAGACTTTTAATCATGCCAAGAAATACTCTTAATAATTACAAAATGTCCTATTTAAATAATTTAGTACTTAAATTTTAAAAGTTTTATGATTAAACTCCTTTTTTTCAATTTTATCGGTTCAGATGTGTTGTTAGATTTTCTTGGATTTTATTATGAATGTAAAATAATAAAGGAAAATAAACAAACCGAAAAGTTTTCTGCAAAATTTAATTGAAACAACTGATCAAGTTCTGGTGTAATTTTCTCTTCCATCTTTTTTTTTCATGTAAATGCTCACAGTGCATCAAATACATTGGAATTATTGCTGATCAAATATGATCCCATTGCTCTTGTTTTGTGAGCTGGGTGACAACGCTCTAACAACGCCGTGAAAGAGCATTGTGATCGCAAACGGACGCTGTAGAAATGCCATGGGAGCGCAATGATCGTAGTGACAACTCTGTGCTGTCGCCATGTAATCGCAGTCGAAAAAATCACAAGACGATTAATCTCATTAGAAGCGCCGTAAAAACGCGATAGAAACACAGTGTCATCTCCAAGGACTCTGCGACATCTCCGTGAGGTCTCCGTGGAAGCGCAGTTTACTGTCACTGCGTTCGTGTCGCAATCATGTGCGTCTTCATGGCGTTCGCACGGAGCTCCCACTATGTTGTTGGAGATCTCACCGCGCTGCTACGGCGATCATACTACGTTTCTACTGCGTAATTCTTATCAGACCGTGGTCACACGGCGCGTACTTTGTGCATACCCAAAGTGATCGCCGTCCCCGGGCGTTCTAGGAGACCCTAAGCGACCCTACGGCCTTCAGTGGAGATTTCCCTGCGTTGTCGCGGCGCTGTAGGAGACTCTACAGCGATAACCTCGGCGTTTTGCATGTTTTGAGGAAGCAGTGCAGTCGCCTTGAGGACGCAGCCGCGGTGTGACAGGAGATTTTAAGTGTGTAGACTTACTCATATGTTTATTTACACAAATAAGCAAATCTTTGTCGAATGAATGGGGTATTGGTCTAGGAGAATAAAGAACAGATAAATAATGATAATGAGTCAACTCTATTTTTAAAGAAAACATATGGTCCACGAGAACAAAATCTTTTCATCTCAAGATTGACTGCATCTTACATCTAATTAAAAATGGTATATTTTTCTATCGACTACAAGTTTAAATGTATTTTCAATATAAGTTAAGTATAATTAATTATACATAATAACAATAATTTCAGTACATATTTTTGATAATTATAAGTTATTTAAGAGTCAAAATCAGCAAGCATCGAGCATTGGATGGAAAGTCAAAATTTTATTTTTTCAAAAGCTTTTGTTATATAAAAAATTTTGTCCTACCTAATGCTAAAACACAATTAAATTTTTTTTTGAACGTATGAAGGGACTGGTATCCAAGGAAATTCATTTCCTTAGCAACGGGCTCATAAATCCTTATGAAAATCAATGATTTTTAGACATTTTTCTATGAATATGTTTTCTGAACGTGATAAGATAGGGTATTTTGGTTACTTTATTTGTTGAAAGATGGAATTGCTTTATTCTTATAAAATAGGAAAAACAAAATTTCTGTAGTGATATTGTTGCCATAACAACGGGAAAAGAACATGGCGTCAATGCTTATTAATTTTGAAAAAAATTACATATGTTTATCACTATATACACAAAATCTACAACCACAGCTAGAAAAATGAATGCTGTGATCTTGTTAGGGGTTATCTATATGTCAAATCTATACAATAAAACTTGCAGGCAACTTTAGAAGAAAAAAGTTACAAATGGTTAAAATGTGTGACAATCTGACATTTATAAGCTTTTTTGAAGGGGTGGGGGTAAACTGAATACATGTACAGTGTCCATTATATTGGTCATATTGGTTCGGATCAAAGCTTACTCATAATTTTACTATTGTTGATAAATAAATGCACATAAAATTTCGAAAGGAATTTATATTCCTCACAAACGAAACTTTGAAATAAAAGAGGGGGGGGGTTATAGGAATCACCTTGTTACATATCCATATGTATGTAAAATTTTGACTTGTTTTGAGGGTTTAACACAAAATGGAGTCAAGTTTTATGATCTGTTTGAATTTCAGAAAAACGTCGATAAAATATTTTTTTTTATTTTTTAAAAGTAATTGTTTAGATTTTCTGCACCCTCTCGGTTTCACTCATATCTATAAATATAGGATGACATTTGAGTATTAAACATTTTTACAATCAAATGTTTCTTTCAAACAGTGTGAACTACCCCCGATATGATGTCTATCAAATTTGTTATGTAACTTAAAGTCAATAAAACATAATCTGCGATAACTTTTTGAATTATCGCTAATATACATTGGTTGCTGTATGTCCATGTTGACAAGGAGGGTACCCATTTTTTGATGCCCATGATATAATTTTTGTTAATTGAAATCCACCTGTTCATGTGTGTATGAAACAGACATAAGTTGCTGTTAATTTCACATATTTCAGTTAATATATTTTGGAAAGTTAACAAGTATTACAGAAGCTTTAGTGACGCGTTCAATTTTACTCTGATTTACAAATTCTTGGCCATTCATTTTTAACGCAGTGTCTCGAGTAGCCCTTGTTTTCCAGCTTCGCACAATGAAATTATGCGATGAAAAGTGGTCACATAAACTGTTATAAAGTCATTAAAGATTCAATAATTAGAAAAAGTCAAACTTAATGCCATATGATTTCTATGTTGTATGTCATGGAGCTGATGACATTATTTATTGAACGCCCCTCGTACTTTCACAGGTGAGATTTGGTATAGCCTTTTTTTTCTGTCAGTCCGTTGTTTATGATTTTTGAAAGGAAAAAAAAAAGAAAACTGGAGCATATTCGAGAGTTCTTTCCTAAATTTCTTATTGCCAATTAACTTTTGTAATAAAATTTAATTGATTTGTTAACTCGTCACTGCACCGAATACACAGTACAATCATGCGCGAACCAGGGGATTTTCGGGGTTGTATTGTTTAATTTAAATTTATATCTTTTCAGAGAGAGGGTTTCACAAAAGCATAAAAAAAATCCAACAGATGGATATAAAAATAAGCAAACAACTTTTCAATTACCGAAAACCCTATTTCGGAGGGGATGCGGAATATCTAAAAATTCATTTTGTATGCTTATCTCAAATTCACGCGCCAATGTTTTTGGAGGTGTCCTACTTCATTTTCTTCTACTTCGACTGTACATAATTTCTATATCTTTGAAAATTGCAGGGGCTGAGGTGGGCAGAATACCTATATATCCATGCTTGACCGTTGATAATTTTTATTCAAACATAAATTACCTTGATTTCAGGACGTTCATTTTCCCGCTAAGGATAAAGGGAGGTAAACCCATTCCTTTGTTTCCGTTTGTGGCCGCCGTTTTCTTCTGTTCAGTGAACGGCGCTCTGCAGACGTACGGGATACTCCTATCGAATACTCAGATCCACCACTGGTTCCAGAAGGCAAGATTCTGTCTGGGTATGTTATACCAAATAGAACAAAAATTTTCCGCTTTTTATTTTGGCTAATCAATGCCAATGACACATATAAAGGAAGCGAACTGGTGTTAAATATCTAAAATGTTCATACGCATTAAAACCCTTTCAGAAACATTTTTAATTTGTTTTTTAGGTATTATGTTATTTTTTACGGAGATGTATATTAACATCCGGTCTGACATTTTGCTGACGTCACTAAGGAGAGAGAAAGAAGGCACATATCGAACTCCAAGTGGTAGATAGACAAAATTTTATCTATATGTTCCGCGTTCTTTAATTCATGTAGTATTCTGGTGAAAATGTAAAGAGAATTGAATGTGGAATAAAAAACTTCACCTTGAATTATTATCGTTAAGGTTGCCAACTTTATTTTATTTTCATCGCAAGGATTTCCATTCAAGTAGGTGTCTGTGCTAACTTTTATTTTTATCCCTAGGATTTCTATTCCAGAACGTCTCTGGTGCTAACTTTCATTTTTATCCCTAGGATTTCTATTCCAGTACGTCTCTGGTGCTAACTTTTATTTCTATCCCTAGGATTTGTATTCAGTACGTCTCTAGTGTTAACTTTTATTTTTTATCCCTAGGATTTCTATTCAGTACGTCTCTGGTGTTAACTTTTATTTTTATCCCTTGGATTTCCATTCGAGTACGTCTCTTGTGTTAACTTTTATTTTTATCCCCAGGATTTCTATTCAAGTACGTCTCTGGTGCTAACTTTTATTTTTATCCCTAGGATTTCTATTCCAGTACGTCTAACGATTTAACTTTTATTTTTATCCCTAGGATTTCTATTCAGTACGTCTCTAGTGTTAACTTTTTTTTTTATCCCTAGGATTTCTATTCAGTACGTCTCTGGTGGTAACTTTTATTTTTATCCCTAGGATTTCTATTCAGTACGTCTCTAGTGTTAACTTTTATTTTTATCCCTTGGATTTCCATTCGAGTACGTCTCTTGTGTTAACTTTTATTTTTATCCCCAGGATTTCTATTCAAGTACGTCTCTGGTGCTAACTTTTACTTTTATCCCTAGGATTTCTTTTCCAGTACGTCTCTGTTGCTAACTTTTATTTTTATCCCTAGGATTTCTATTCCAGTACGTCTCTGGTGCTAACATTTATTTTTTCCCGGGATTTCTATTCCAGTACGTCTCACGTTCTAACTTTTATTTTTATCTCTAGGATTTTTTTTCAAGTACTCGCTGATGCTAACTTTTATTTTTATCCCTAGAATTTCTAATCAGTACGTCTCTGATGCTAACTTTTATTTTTATCCCTAGGATTTCTATTCAGTACGTCTCTAGTGTTAACTTTTATTTTTATCCCTTGGATTTCCATTCGAGTACGTATCTAGTGTTAGCTTTTATTTTTATCCCTAGGATTTCTATTCGAGTACGTCTCTAGTGTTAACTTTTATTTTTATCCCCAGGATTTCTATTCAAGTACGTCTCTGGTGCAAACTTTTATTTTTATCCCTAGGATTTCTATTCAAGAACGTCTCTGGTGCTAATTTTATTTTTATCCCTAGAAGTTCTATTCAGTACGTCTCTGGTGCTAACTTTTATTTTTATCCCTAGGATTTCTATTCAGTACGCCTCTAGTGCTAATTTTTATTTTTATTACCAGAATTTATAATCAGTACGCCTATGGTGCTAATTTTTATTTTCATCCAAAGGATTTCTATTCGAGTATGTCTCTTGTTCAAACTTTTAATTTTATCCCTGGGATTTCGTTTCGAGTACGTCTCTCGTTTTAATTATCCCCAGGATTTCTATTCCAGTACGTCTCTGTTGCTAACTTTTATTTTTATCCCTAGGATTTCTATGCAAGTAATCGCTGATGCTGACTTTTATTTTTATCCCTAGGATTTCTAATCAGTGCGTGTCTGATGCTAACTTTTATTTTTATCCCCAAGATTTCTTTTCAGTACGCCTCTGGAGCTAATTTTTATTTTTATCACCAGGATTTCTAATCAGTACGCCTTTGGTGCTATTTTTTATTTTATCCCAAGGATTTCTATTCGAATACGTCTCTGGCGCTAACTTCCTGGGAGAAATAGTGGAGTGGATCGGTTTTTCTTTGGCCTGTTGTTATCGTTTGAATCAAAACCGGAATTGGAAGGGGGTGGGGGCAACAATGGGAGAGACTACAATCAAATCTTTTTTTCAAAGGAATATAGAGGGAAAATACTTCTTTAAAGAATATTTTAAAAATTTCTGATCAGGAAAAGCAAATCCGTGACTGATAATTATATGGAAGATTTCAAAGGTGTAACATTTACTTTTTCCCCAGGTGGTCCAGGAAACTTTTTAAATGAAGTTGTTGTAAATGAAAGTATCCGTCAAATGTGATATAAAGTACATCCAACTTGCGTAAAACAACATGCAAAACAACAATCATTCGTGAAAGTGTTCAAGAATAACTTTTAATTAAAAAATCTTTTCGATGAGAAAGATCAAGATCAAGTTCACAGATTTTCAAATTCTGAGAAAAGTGTATGCAAATGTATTTATTGCATTATCATTATGTAGTTGAAACAAAGTCTTACAGACAAAACGGAATCAGAGCCTTTCTATCTTTTCGATAATTCTCAAATTTCTCCCTATAAAATCTACAGAATAAATAAAATTAAATAAAAAGGAATCACTGATGTGAGTAAGGTGTAATTGGTACATTGCTTTTATTGCTGATGTAAAATGTTTTAAGTGAGTGCAATATCATGGGAAAACTTCAATGTATTCCTTTCGACGTGATTTATATCTATACTGAGTGTATTACCTGTGATGATGGAAAGCCCAAAGGCCGATATTACACAGAGTGAAGATAGCAAAAGCTATAGAAGGGAGATAACAACAGGCCAAAGAAAAACCGATCCACTCCACTATTTCTCCCAGGAAGTTAGCGCCAGAGACGTATTCGAATAGAAATCCTTGGGATAAAAATAAAAATTAGCACCAAAGGCGTACTGATTAGAAATCCTGGTGATAAAAATAAAAATTAGCTCCAGAGGCGTACTGAAAAGAAATTTTGGGGATAAAAATAAAAGTTAGCATCAGACACGCACTGATTAGAAATCCTAGGGATAAAAATAAAAGTCAGCATCAGCGATTACTTGCATAGAAATCCTAGGGATAAAAATAAAAGTTAGCAACAGAGACGTACTGGAATAGAAATCCTGGGGATAATTAAAACGAGAGACGTACTCGAAAAGAAATCCCAGGGATAAAATTAAAAGTTTGAACAAGAGACATACTCGAATAGAAATCCTTTGGATGAAAATAAAAATTAGCACCATAGGCGTACTGATTATAAATTCTGGTAATAAAAATAAAAATTAGCACTAGAGGCGTACTGAATAGAAATCCTAGGGATAAAAATAAAAGTTAGCACCAGAGACGTACTGAATAGAACTTCTAGGGATAAAAATAAAATTAGCACCAGAGACGTTCTTGAATAGAAATCCTAGGGATAAAAATAAAAGTTTGCACCAGAGACGTACTTGAATAGAAATCCTGGGGATAAAAATAAAAGTTAACACTAGAGACGTACTCGAATAGAAATCCTAGGGATAAAAATAAAAGCTAACACTAGATACGTACTCGAATGGAAATCCAAGGGATAAAAATAAAAGTTAACACTAGAGACGTACTGAATAGAAATCCTAGGGATAAAAATAAAAGTTAGCAACAGAGACGTACTGAAATAGAAATCCTGGGGATAATTAAAACGAGAGACGTACTCGAAAAGAAATCCCAGGGAAAAAATAAAAGTTAGAACAAGAGACATACTCGAATAGAAATCCTTCGATAAAAATAAAAATTAGCACCAGAGGCGTACTGATTATAAATCCTGGTGATAAAAATAAAAATTATCACTAGAGGCGTACTGAATAGAAATCCTAGGGATAAAAATAAAAGTTAGCATCAGAGACACACTGATTAGAAATTCTAGGGATAAAAATAAAAGTTAGCATCAGCGAGTACTTGAAAAAAAATCCTAGAGATAAAAATAAAAGTTAGAACGTGAGACGTACTGGAATAGAAATCCCGGGGAAAAAATAAATGTTAGCACCAGAGACGTACTGGAATAGAAATCCTAGGGATAAAAATAAAAGTTAGCAACAGAGACGTACTGGAAAAGAAATCCTAGGGATAAAAGTAAAAGTTAGCACCAGAGACGTACTTGAATAGAAATCCTGGGGATAAAAATAAAAGTTAACACAAGAGACGTACTCGAATGGAAATCCAAGGGATAAAAATAAAAGTTAACACTAGAGACGTACTGAATAGAAATCCTAGGGATAAAAATAAAAGTTACCACCAGAGACGTACTGAATAGAAATCCTAGGGATAAAAAAAAGTTAACACTAGAGACGTACTGAATAGAAATCCTAGGGATAAAAATAAAAGTTAAATCGTTAGACGTACTGGAATAGAAATCCTAGGGATAAAAATAAAAGTTAGCACCAGAGACGTACTTGAATAGAAATCCTGGGGATAAAAATAAAAGTTAACACAAGAGACGTACTCGAATGGAAATCCAAGGGATAAAAATAAAAGTTAACACCAGAGACGTACTGAATAGAAATCCTAGGGATAAAAATAAAAGTTAGCACCAGAGACGTACTGAATAGAAATCCTAGGGATAAAAATAAAAGTTAACACCAGAGACGTACTGAATAGAAATCCTAGGGATAAAAAATAAAAGTTAACACTAGAGACGTACTGAATACAAATCCTAGGGATAGAAATAAAAGTTAGCACCAGAGACGTACTGGAATAGAAATCCTAGGGATAAAAATAAAAGTTAGCACAGACACCTACTTGAATGGAAATCCTTGCGATGAAAATAAAATAAAGTTGGCAACCTTAACGATAATAATTCAAGGTGAAGTTTTTTATTCCACATTCAATTCTCTTTACATTTTCACCAGAATACTACATGAATTAAAGAACGCGGAACATATAGATAAAATTTTGTCTATCTACCACTTGGAGTTCGATATGTGCCTTCTTTCTCTCTCCTTAGTGACGTCAGCAAAATGTCAGACCGGATGTTAATATACATCTCCGTAAAAAATAACATAATACCTAAAAAACAAATTAAAAATGTTTCTGAAAGGGTTTTAATGCGTATGAACATTTTAAATATTTCACACCAGTTCGCTTCCTTCATATGTGTCATTGGCATTGATTAGCCAAAATAAAAAGCGGAAAATTTTTGTTCTATTTGGTATAACATACCCAGACAGAATCTTGCCTTCTGGAACCAGTGGTGGATCTGAGTATTCGATAGGAGTATCCCGTACGTCTGCAGAGCGCCGTTCACTGAACAGAAGAAAACGGCGGCCACAAACGGAAACAAAGGAATGGGTTTACCTCCCTTTATCCTTAGCGGGAAAATGAACGTCCTGAAATCAAGGTAATTTATGTTTGAATAAAAAATATCAACGGTCAAGCATGGATATATAGGTATTCTGCCCACCTCAGCCCCTGCAATTTTCAAAGATATAGAAATTATGTACAGTCGAAGTAGAAGAAAATGAAGTAGGACACCTCCAAAAACATTGGCGCGTGAATTTGAGATAAGCATACAAAATGAATTTTTAGATATTCCGCATCCCCTCCGAAATAGGGTTTTCGGTAATTGAAAAGTTGTTTGCTTATTTTTATATCCATCTGTTGGATTTTTTTTATGCTTTTGTGAAACCCTCTCTCTGAAAAGATATAAATTTAAATTAAACAATACAACCCCGAAAATCCCCTGGTTCGCGCATGATTGTACTGTGTATTCGGTGCAGTGACGAGTTAACAAATCAATTAAATTTTATTACAAAAGTTAATTGGCAATAAGAAATTTAGGAAAGAACTCTCGAATATGCTCCAGTTTTCTTTTTTTTTTCCTTTCAAAAATCATAAACAACGGACTGAAAGAAAAAAAGGCTATACCAAATCTCACCTGTGAAAGTACGAGGGGCGTTCAATAAATAATGTCATCAGCTCCATGACATACAACATAGAAATCATATGGCATTAAGTTTGACTTTTTCTAATTATTGAATCTTTAATGACTTTATAACAGTTTATGTGACCACTTTTCATCGCATAATTTCATTGTGCGAAGCTGGAAAACAAGGGCTACTCGAGACACTGCGTTAAAAATGAATGGTCAAGAATTTGTAAATCAGAGTAAAATTGAACGCGTCACTAAAGCTTCTGTAATACTTGTTAACTTTCCAAAATATATTAACTGAAATATGTGAAATTAACAGCAACTTATGTCTGTTTCATACACACATGAACAGGTGGATTTCAATTAACAAAAATTATATCATGGGCATCAAAAAATGGGTACCCTCCTTGTCAACATGGACATACAGCAACCAATGTATATTAGCGATAATTCAAAAAGTTATCGCAGATTATGTTTTATTGACTTTAAGTTACATAACAAATTTGATAGACATCATATCGGGGGTAGTTCACACTGTTTGAAAGAAACATTTGATTGTAAAAATGTTTAATACTCAAATGTCATCCTATATTTATAGATATGAGTGAAACCGAGAGGGTGCAGAAAATCTAAACAATTACTTTTAAAAAATAAAAAAAAATATTTTATCGACGTTTTTCTGAAATTCAAACAGATCATAAAACTTGACTCCATTTTGTGTTAAACCCTCAAAACAAATTTAGAATGAGATGTACTTGACAAAACTGCAAATGCCTAAGAAGAGCAAAAATTTGCAAGAAGACAAAACAGTTTTATACGCTATTTTCTTAAATATTAGCGGTCTTGTTGTTCAAATATATATACACGAAGGCAGTTCAATTTCTTGATGAGTCTAGTAAGTCAAATATTTGCCAAAAAATGAAAGGTTTATGAGAGGAAGGAAACAGAATATGGAATTCACTACATTAAATTTCTTCCTGACAGCGTCCAAACCCACAGGCCATGAAGAGTAAAGGAGTTTTGGGGTAAACAGAAAGTTAACGTTTTGTCACATTAACAATAATCGCCAGATCTTTGACCTTTTGACTTGTTTCATTTCCCAAACTTAGGAAAACACCTTTTAGAAAGAAAAAAATAAGTACAGCAAATCATAGGATTTGCCATTTTCCAGTATTCTAAGGGTCATACTCAAAACTGTGTTCTAAAAACAATTAGAAATTGAATAAAAATGTTACGGACATGTCTTTTAATTAAAAGAGAATATTTTAGTTAAATCATTAAGACAAAATCATAGAAAGGCGAGTTTTGTTTATTTCCGAGCCCCGATGACATTATTTATTGAACGCCCCTCGTAGTGTAACAGAAAGCATCCAATCAAAACCATGTTATTTCCATTAAT